TTCCATTCGTTTCAAAATAGTTGATGTGTTTGGTTAATGATACATTGCTAATTGAGTGTCGTAAATTAAATTTAATTATAGTATATTATGATATTATTATTTATTTTTTTACGTGATATTATTTATTATTTATTTATTTATTATTTATTATTATTAATATATATTATTAAAAAATTGAAATATATGTTTAGATATTTTAAATACTATATTTTAATAAAATATATAATAAAAATAAATAAATAGAATATTTATTCATGATTAACATTACCTAATTTAATGAAAATTTAATGAGTTTTAAATGTAAATAAAATTATTTATTTATTGATGAGATGAATAAAAGTAAAGAAGTTCTAAATGAATTTTACATTTAATAAGAAATTTAAAATTAAATTAAATTGACTTATATTTATTAAATGAGATATATATAATTCAAATAATAATAAAAAAAAAAAGACTAACTTGCACCAAAATTCATTTGTGGTTTCATAAAATTGCCTCAATTCCCGTATACTTTTAAAACTGCGTCAAACTCTCTCGTTGTTTCATAAACTTTGCGTTTAATCCCATCGGCGGTTTTTATTTAACGGTATTTCACCTAAATGTGCTCAAACTGCGAATAAATTTTAGAATCTTAATTTCTAAACCTTTAAAATTGCAAATATATTTATTTTTCTTATATTTAGCCTAAAAAAAATAAAAATAAACTCTTGAAACTTGAGAAAAATAATTATTTTTTTAGTATATTTACTATTTTTTTAAGCTAAATATAAGAAAAATATAATTTTAGGGGTTAGAGATTGAGATGCTAAAATTTATTCGCAATTTGAGCGCATTTAGATCAAATACCGTTAAATAAGAACCGTTGAGGGAATTAGACGCAAAATTTGTGAAACAACGAGGGAGTTTAACGCAATTTTAAAAATATAGGGAATTTGGCGTAATTTTTGAAATCACAAATAGATTTGATACAATTTCGCCTAAAAAATAAAAATAAAAAATTCTAAGTTTCATTTAAATCTTCTGTTCAAAATTAGTTAGGCAAACGTCATAGCTTAGCTAGGCATTGGAATCAATTAATTTTTATTTTTACATATATTATTTTCATTTAAATAATCCCCAAATAATCAATGAAATAGACTATATGCAGGCAGTAGTTGATCATCATACCAACAACCTATCTACAAAATTTTAAATAATAAAATAAATAAAAAAAAATTACTATTGACGTAGACATTTTTGTTTGGTTAAATTTGTCACAAGCTGATGAAGGATTCTGTCAATCTAACTAATAAATTTTTATTTCTGTTTTGGATGGTTTCAATCATTATCTTCCACAGGGAGTTAATAATAATAATATAAATAAATAATATATACAGAACACGTTAAAAATAGAAACGTGACACCGATAGGAAATAATTGAAGGGTATGTGAGGCATTTCTTAAATTGAAATTCAAGGAGCAATTTTTTAAAAAGTAAAATAAATTAATTAATATTTGCCAAAAAGGATAATATCCTATCTTAGGTAAAATATTATATTGGTTGAGGCAATAAATTATTGAGCCAAATTATTAAATAAAATAAATAAATAAAATCTGATAATCATAACATATTTTCAACAAATAATTTATTATATAGTTTGCTTGTAATTTTGAAGCTAATATTTATGTCATATTTCAAAGTATTAAATAATGGAAAGAGGGTCGTTGTAAGGTATCAGACTATCAGTTGGCTGTCAATATATTTATATAAATAATAAATTCGAACTATTTGAGAGTGTTATGCTTTGATTTTTATATTTAATATATACACTTATTATACTTCCGCCGTCCCACACTATAACAGTCTTATTTATCATTTTTATCTATTTTAAAATAATAATATTATTTTGTATTACCATAAATTATTCATATTTTTTCATTATTATTACACAAATATCGTTACTTTTTACACTAATACACTCACAAAAACAAAAAAAAAAATCATTTAATCATATCTTTACTGACTATCAATATGATATCAATATTCTTTAAATATCGTGCCCAACACAAATAAGATCATAATTTTAGGACGAGGAAGTATCTATATATATATATATAATCAAAACTTTAACTACTAATCATATAACGTATATTACACACCCATATGTATATAACTACAATACAATTAAAGGAAAATTGTAAAAAATTATCATGTATGTGTATTCAATTACTACTGTTATCTTTTAATTATCATTATAGTAAAATAGTAAAATATATCTTGTATGTATCACAATTTCGTTATTTGTGATTTCACTTAATGTATATTGTAACAAAATATAGTTTGCGCGTATCGCAATTTTGCTAAACATATAATGTCACAATTTCACTAAAAATATATTGTATATGTCACAATTCACTAAAAATATATTATACACGTTTTATATTATTCATTATTATATTAGGTGTCATTCAATAACAGTAGCGCCCGGATTTAAAAAATTGTGAAATTCTCGCGAGATCAATATACTGAAATAATAAAGTTGTGACACTTACATAATGTATTTTACTATATCGAATGTCGGATGTGACACTTACATAATGTATTTTACTATATCGAATGTCGGATGTGCAGAATGACCGTCTCACCTAAATACTCGATCTGTTAGAAAAACACAACCATTAATTATTTATTCGTAAATGAGAGTTTCCAACAATAAAAATTAAAAGATAAATATGATAATGAAGCATATCTATAAAATACTTTTTTACAATTTTTTCACACAATTCATACAAAATCTTAAATTTATATAAATAATAAATACTTAAGAGGATTTCTCCGTTAGACTACATTCTTATACGAGACACATGCAATTATAAACAAACAATACATGTCTTTATTACACGGTATTGTTATAGACAACACATTGTACATGTTAATATAATATAAATATAACTCATAAATTAACAACACATGCTATAGTCACATACAAAATAAACAACAGTTGATTTTAGCACATGACATACTCTTATACAACACATATGTAATTATAAACAAACAATGCATGTCTTTATTACATAACATGTGTTGTATGTAATAAAAACATGTGCTATTTATATATATATATATTATGGGGACTGATTTGAAAAATCAGCACAATGCTAAATTTTCCAAATCAGCACCGTAATTATTCTCAGATTTTTATTAACACGATTTGATTCTAAGTTAAACAATAAATTTACAAAAAAATTATATTTATATTAATGTAAAAATATTATATATATATATATAATATACTTCTCCATCCCAATTCAATATATTATTTTTATTATTTTCTTATGTTTTACTCAAAAAATTTTATTTTCTATTATAACAAAAATAATCAATATACAAATCCCAAAATATCTCAAGTTTACAAAAATATTTGTTTATTTATACTTGCAATGACAAAAATATCAAAATTATTTTATACACTTTTACTAACTAATAAAATACTATTTCTTCATCCAAGCTTATGCCTACTTTCTATTTTTATTTTTTTTGTTATCCAAAAATATTACTTCATCTATCATTCAAATTTATTCTCACTTTCCGTTTTTGTTTGTCATCTAAATCTATTCTCGTTTCCGTTTTTAGTAAAACAAAAATACCACTTTTCTACTTTTTTTTTACTCAAAAAAGTAAAAATTTCTTTTTTTTTATCTATTTTTTTAAAATCTGTGTCCGGTTAAATAAGCATACAATTGGATGACGGAGGGAGTATATTTTTCTTCCAAGTAAAAAAAATATCAAATTTTATAATTTTTTTTATTACAATAAAAAGAAAATATTTTTATTTTTATTTATTTTTCTTGGAGTATATTTTAAAAAATAAAAAAGAAATAAAGAGAGAGAGAGAGAGGAGAAAAGAAAACTTACAATACAAAAACGTGTAAATTCATTCTAAAAGTGATTAGTGTGAACAAACACTTTGCCATACAAAGTTTGATTCATTTCACACTTTGGTGACTTTTAAATTTCACCAAAACCCTCACTTTTATTCCTTTTGCTTTGCTTACAAACTTTCACAATAATTAAATATTTTGACTCACTCACTGAGATTGTCTGATTACTACAACCAACAAACCTCTACAAATTCCACTAAAAGCAATTCCGTGTGTGTGTTTATTCACACATGATTTTTCCATCTCTTTTGTTCTTGCCTAAATTCATATGGGATTCTTTAATTGCCATTTGTTTGGGGTATTGGATTCCTATATAAAAGACTTTATGAATTGTCCTAGTAAAATATCCTTAAATCCATTTTTTGGGCAATAAATCTAAGAGGTATTGAGGACAGAATCATTGACAAATCCAATTCCATTTCTAGATAAGTACCATTCTTGAAATTAACCTTTGTTGGACTATTCTTGGGGACTCCCGGGTGTCCAAATCCCCCTCACACTAGAATCCGGTTAAGAATTAAGATCCATATGGGACTTGTGATCCCAGGAGTCGCCAAGAATCACACCCAAGAACCCATGTGGTTTTTACAGAAAATTCATGATCACAATCTCAATGTTTGACTAATTGACTCAACCCATTTTTATCTAAATCACACTGAAATAATTAGGACTAATTGAAGTCAATAAAAATACAAGGTTTGTTTAGATACGGGGTTTTTTAAAATCTAAAAATTTGAAAAAAAACAAAAAATTACTATTTGATTTTATATTTTATCAAAAGAAAATATATTTGATGTTATATTTTCTAAAAAAATAAATATAGTATCAAATAAATGAAAATATACTAAGTAAAAAAAAAAAAAAAAAAACGTATAACCTCGCTCACACACTCCTATGCTTCACTTATGTAGTGCCAAAATCAAATAATGAGACGTCACCTGCCCCACTAGTTTCCAACCATTAATAAATGTCCCTTTTCCAACTAGCCCATAAAAAATTTGACCCCAAATTCTAAATTGAACAAATAAAATAAATAAATAAAAATAAAATCTCCTTTTTTTTTTTTTTTTTTTAAGCTTTGTAATAAAACTACTCGTCTTCTCTTCCTCACTCAAAATCAATCTCCCAAATATGATTTGTCAGAAGCTCCAATTCCGGCTTCTGATAATCGCGATTTTAATTTTGTGTTTCACGCTTTTAACGGATGCCTCCGCCAGAGACGCTGCGATTCTTGTCCGGGTCAAAACCGGGCACCTCCGCGACCCGGCCGGAGTCCTCGACGGTTGGGTCGTCTCGGACCGGAACGCGCCCTGCAACTGGACCGGAATCCAATGCGACGCCGACCGGCACGACGTCGTTTCGATTAACCTCTCCGGATTTAACGTCTCCGGCGACTTCCCGGCGGACTTCTGCCGGATTTCGTCGCTGCGAAGCCTCGACGTCTCGTCCAACAACCTCGGCGGTGAAATCTCCTCCGATTCGATGTCTCCCTGCTCTCATCTGCTCTACCTCAACCTTTCCATCAACAATTTCGTCGGAAACTTGCCTGATTTTCCGGTGCCGTTTGTTAACTTGACTGTTTTGGATTTTTCGTTCAATAACTTTTCCGGCGACATTCCGGCCAGTTTTGCAGGCTTCCAAAAGCTTGAGTTTTTATCTCTGGGTTCAAATCTGCTTAACGGATCTATCCCTGAGTTTCTCTCCAATTTGACGGAGTTAACTCAGTTGGTACTCGCCGTTAATCCGTTCCAGCTCAGTCCGCTGCCGGCGACGATCGGACGGCTGAGGAAGCTCGAGTATTTGGTGTGTTCATACGCGAATCTCGCCGGAGAAATCCCCGACTCCATCGGAGATCTTGCTTCGCTTAAAAGCCTCGACGTCGCCGGCAACAGTCTCACCGGAAAACTCCCTGGAAGCATCGGGAAGCTGAAAAACGTGGAGCAAATTGAACTGTATGGGAACCAAATCTCCGGCGAATTGCCCGACGCATTTTCCGGTCTCACCTCGCTACTCCGATTCGATGCTTCGCAGAACAATCTCGCCGGAAAAATTCCTCGTAGTCTGACTGCTCTGCCTCTCCAATCTCTGCATCTCAACGACAATTCATTGGAAGGCGATATTCCCGAGATTATAGCCCTAAATCCCAATCTTACAGAGCTGAGGCTGTTCAACAACAATCTCACAGGTACTCTGCCCCAATTTTTGGGTATGAACTCCGATTTGGTTGAAATCGACGTTTCCGGCAACGATCTGGAAGGCGAATTGCCTCAGAATTTGTGCTACCGGAAAAAGCTCGAGTTTCTGATTCTGTTTCGGAATAGATTTTCCGGCGGACTGCCGGAGTCGTACGGCGAATGCAGCAGCATAACGTATATACGTATTCAGCAAAACGAACTCACCGGAAACGTGCCGGAAGGTCTATGGGGACTCGCCGGAATTCAGCACATGGAGTTCACCGACAACCGTCTGGAAGGTTCGATTCCGCCGCGAATATCAACGGCGGAAGGCTTAGAACAGCTCCTCATCTCCGGCAACAAATTTTCCGGCAACTTACCGGCGGAAATCTGCCGTCTGCAAGAACTCAAGAAGCTTGATCTCAGCCATAACCAGATTTCCGGCAATCTGCCGGCGTGCATCACTCAGCTCACCAAATTGCAGGAAGTTCATCTCCAGGGGAACAAATTCAATGGAGAAATCCCCAAAACCGTTTCCCCATGGACAGAACTAACGCAGCTGGATTTATCCAGCAATCAGTTCTCCGGCGCCATTCCGGCCGAGCTCGGCGATTTGCAGGTCCTAACATTCCTGGATCTCTCCAACAACCTCCTCTCCGGCGAAATTCCATCGAAGCTAACCAAATTGAAGTTCAACGAATTCAACGTATCCAACAACAACCTCCATGGAAGAATCCCAGCCGGCTTCGACACCAAGTTCTTCCTCTCAAGCCTCACCGGCAACCCCGGCCTGTGCAGCTCCGATCTCCGGCCAATTCCTCCATGCTCCCGTTCGAAGCCCGTAAACATCGTCCTCATCGTCGTTCTATCAACCTTAGCATCGATCCTCGTTGTGCTACTCCTCTGGCTCCTCGTAAAAACAAAGAAGCTCATCCGCTTCAAATCCCATCCGCCATGGAAGATCACAGCCTTCCAGAAGGTCAGCTTCGACGAAGAGGAAGTCCTCTCCGCCTTAACCGATCGGAACCTGATTGGTTCCGGCGGGTCGGGGCGTGTCTACCGTGTCAGGCTAAAGAACGGTCAGACGGTAGCTGTGAAAAGGCTGTGGGAGCCGAAGGGGTTATCGGAATCGGAGACTGTGTTCTTGTCGGAGGTTGACACGTTGGGTCGAATCCGTCACAGCAATATCGTGAAACTGTTGTTCAGCTGCATCGGCGACGATGTTAAGGTTTTGGTGTACGATTACATGGAGAACGGAAGTTTGGGCGACGTATTGTACGGCGAGAAAGGCGGGGAGGTCTTGGACTGGTCGAGCCGGTTCAAGATTGCCGTCGGGGCTGCGCAAGGGCTCGCGTATCTGCACCACGATTGCGTGCCTCCGATCGTTCACCGAGACGTGAAATCGAACAACATTTTGCTCGACGACGAGTTCCGGGCGAAGGTCGCAGATTTCGGCCTCGCCAAGATGCTCAATCGCAGCTCGACGGAGAGCGATCCCGTCATGTCCCGTGTAGCCGGGTCGTACGGCTACATTGCTCCGGGTAAAAAAACGTTTGCACAGATATTTTCGAAACTTTTAAGACTATTCATCTACAGTAAAAAAAAAATAATTTTTGTCTAAAGGGAGTTTATTTCTTACAATTTTTTAACTTATTTGCGCAGAGTATGGATACACAATGAAAGTTACAGAGAAGAGCGACGTATACAGCTACGGGGTGGTGTTGTTGGAACTAATCACGGGTAAAATCCCGAACGATCCATCGTTTGGGGAGAATAAAGATATTGTTAAGTGGGTGACGGAGATCGCATTATCATGGCCCGAACACGGCGGCGCCGGGAGCGTGGACAATGCCCGGTTGGAACAAGTGTTGGACCCTCGACTTGATAGGTGTACCGTAGAGTACGGTGAGGTAGAGAAGCTTCTGAATGTGGCCTTGTCGTGTACAACGGATTTGCCGACAAGTCGGCCTTCGATGAGGAGGGTTGTCGAGCTTCTTAAAGATCTTTCCTCTCCACGGCCCAAATAAGAATTGGAGTGAAGATTAAAGACCATATGAGTTTTTGCGTAGTCTGTATTGAAAATTAGAGTATAGACAATACATGTTTGTTATAAAAAGTTTGGTTTAATTAGGATGTTAAGGTTGAGAATTTATCAGTACTATGCTGTTATTGGAATCGGTATATAAAAATACTATAGATAATATATATAAATATGATAGACAATATATCTTGTATAAAGTATTTGTATGTACTTTTAGTTTTATTTTCAAAAATTCTGTAATTTTGTGAGTGATTAGGCTAAAGCTTCGATTTTCGGAAGATTTTGTGATTTCTTGAGCTATTTTTGGTTGTGCCGGAGCCAAGGTAGTATCCCATTGTCTCTTTTGTAATTTGAGGGTGCCGCGGTGGCTGAGTTTCGAACATTTTTACGATTCTGCATTATTTTTTTTGGGTTCAATTCAATAAGAGTTTTAAGTTTTTTTTTTTTTTTTTGGTTCAATTCAATAAGAGTTTTAAGTTTGATGACTGTGTTATTATCTTTTTATTTTTTATATATATATTTTTTGGTTTAATTTAAATGTGGTAAAAACTAACACGACGGTTCGACACGAATACAATAATAAATAATTAGGTTTTGGTCAAAAATTTTAATCCAATTATGTACCTTGGTTGACATGAACCTGATAGGATAATAAACGAGTTGGGTTAGAGTTGAGACTCTCAATTCGAATCTGACACAACAACTCGATTATAATATATTAATATTAATTAGTATATTTATTATATATATAAAATAATTATAATTTAGTAATTAGTCCACACATTAATTTAAATTAAATTCAATTTTTAAATAATTCAATATAATTCATTATACACAAAACCAACAAAAACTAACCGAAGACAGACAAAAATATTTGAATTTGAATTAAAGATTTCGACTTAATCATCTAATAGATTAACACTGGTCAACACGAACCCGATACGATAATAAATTGGTCAATACGAACTCGACACGATAATAAACAAATCAAGTTTGGGTTGAACTATTTAATCCGTTTAAAATATTCACGACACGAATTTACTCATTGTTTAATTCAATAAGAGTTTTAAGTTTAAATGTTGTTTGATGGTTTCATATTTCAAATTTTGTATCAAAACACAACAAATACAAACTTTGCATTATTAATTTATATTTCATCTATTGTCTGTCTCTATTTAAGATATTGTGTTCTTTATGTTTTTAAATGAATATTTATAATAGTTTAATATAGTTATATGATAATGATAGATTAATGATTTTGTTCTCTTCCTAATGGAATCCCCGCGGATAAGGATTTAAATGAATCATATTATTGTCATTATACTTAACATTAAAAATATTCTTATATATGTATAATTTTTGTTCAAATGTCATTCTATTAGTCTTATAAGATACTAATTAAAGTATTTTTGTAGATATATTTTTAATTTGTATTATATTTTCATATAATAATTAATATTCAAATATCAACCGGCTATTGAGTAGGACAAAAATGAAACAAATCTTGAATCAGCCATTTGAATAATATTTGTCAAAACTGTATTTCAAAAATCCAAACCAAATAAGTTAAAAACTAGTTCAAATCGAACACAAACACCGCTTCAAATTCGAAACAAATCGAATATCAAATCAAACAGAGAGACGATCAATTTCACAAATATCAAAGCAAAAAATTGTAGTATTCAATTGAGTTGGATTCGTATTCAACCCTAGCTAGAAATGCATGCAATAATATCCATATTTCTTGTGACTTGATTGATTCATGCATACAAAAACTCAACACAACATCATAACAACACAATAGACAGATTACATTTTTACTCATAGCAAATGTTAATTCCAACTCCAAATATCATCAGTTCAGTGAAAGACATGAATCATAACAAGCAGCTATTCGGAAGCTAATAAATAGTTTGGAGTTACCGGTTACTCAATCTCCGCTAGCACAGCCTCCGCAGCCACAGTGTACGCATTCGATAACCTTTTCTTCTCGAAGATGCTTGGGGACTCGGCAGACACATGTGGTTTGGAAATTATGGTCTCGTGGTTGCATGCACCTTAAGCAGCAGAGCCGTTCATAACCAGGCTGCAAATCAAGTCAAGTATTATCCGTAAGAAGTTGCTTTGTCATCATCAGTTGGACACGACACGACCAAATAAAGCACAAAATGCACATTGTTATGTCACAAGACTTAATTAAAGAAACAATTCTTGCTAAAAATAACCGAATTTTGTTTCTATTATCGGTCCATATTCAACCTATGCATCGAGATTTTGTTATTGGACACACATAACACTAACTCTGAGGAATGAGCCGTCAATAAATTTGAGATAATGCTAAGATATAAAACATTCACACCACGATTCTTCATCTTTAAAAGAACCTTCAATAACCAAATTAAAATACCTTCTTCCATTTAGCAATTAAATTCCGATCAGCATGTCCCTGGTCCAAGCAGAACTCAAATAATTCCTTCGAAATTTCCTTCCTCTTATAGTAAAGGTCGAAGATGTATCGGCTCCGTTGATGGGCTATTTTGAATATAGGCCATAACGCCTCGCATTTTCTTTTACCATCGTGTGGATCAAGCTCAGCTGCCACCAAGAACAGAAGATCAAATGAATCAGTATCCATCACTGTGTGTTTGTTTCGAGTATCTAGAAATACTTAAAATGGCGAAAACACATCATATAAATATAAATAGTGACTGCAATGGTATATGAACATAAACCTTCTCTCATCTTTCCCTGAAGTTCAAGTAGAGTTGGTTCAATCAGCTCCCATCCTTCCGGGTACTTAACCCTGTTCGTCTTCACTTTAGGCATGATTTTCAAACTGAAATAAACATCGATAAAATCGAGTGTAATCAGCAACTTTAGCATTGAAACTTAATATTTCCATACATCACAATATCAACACTATCATATCCATTTTGTTCTTATATCTACCATCAGGCACTGAGGATGCTTTAATTTCTATATAACATACTTATCATTGAAAGGAAGGCACCATTCCTCAACGCGCAACCTACGTAGTTCCTAAGTCTAATTTGGTAAGGAACAAAACTTCGATTCAATCAGACATCATGAAGAGAGCAAAAATTATTGGAATTTGATCTAATGAACAAAGGAGATTGATTATCTTGCTTCAAGAAAAATTACAACACAATTAATTAGTTGTCTCTACCTGAAATCACAAACCCTAACAAATAATGAAGAGTAGAAATTAGATACACACTAGGTTCGGCTAAATTTATTATGTTATCCAATATTCGCTCCTTAAATCGACATCGCCATGAAATATGAAAGAAGAAGCAGAGGCGTGTGCTTACCCTACGTATTTTGCAAAGCAAATTAGCCATAGGTTGAGCTCAGGAACAATTTTATCCGATTACACAAGGGAGAGATTCCCCTAAAAAATTAAACCCCTAATTTTTTTTTTTCAGTTCTACCGATTTGTGAAAGTGATCGTCGGTTTGAGAATACCTGGAGGGGAGCAAGCAAGTCTCGAGGGCACCGGCGGCGGGGATCGGGACAGCAATGGAGATGGAGTATTGCCGGTGTGGACGAATGGTTCGCCTCAAATAGAATTTTGGCTCCTGTTCGAGGAGCTTCCCAACTTTCTCGAATCGGGTCCCGACCCGACCCGACCCGACAGACCCGATGCCAGACTAGATATGCCCGGCCGGTTCGACAACAAACCGGAATTGAAATCGAAAATTTCACAATCCAATTTCGATTCCAACTTTCCAATATTCAGTTTTATTATAAGTATATATTTTATTTTTCTTTTAATTTGGGATAATTTGAAAGAAAAGGATTTTAATAATTTTTTTATTTAATTATTTATTATATCTTTTAATATTTTTATAAAATTTTTATAAAAGTTTCAAGTTTTAATATTTATTTATTTTATATTTAACTATATTAAATGAATAATAACATATAATTTGCATATATCATATATTTTCAATCAAACTTTTTAGTAAGTTTTATTATAATATTTTTTAAAAATAGTTATATAAAGTAGTATATAATAATATTTATAATTAAAAAAATTGAATAAACAATGTTTGGATTTAATTTTAATAATTAATTCAATCAAATAAATATGTTTAAATTAACATAAATTATTAGAATTAATTTTTATAATTGATTTAGTTTATATATAAAAAATTTATTTTATCTATTGTTATTTGTATTTAAAATTACTATTTTTCTGATTTCAATAAATATTTATATGTATGGTCTAAAATAAATTATATTAACCCAATTTAAATATATTTTGAAATATTTTAATTAATTTTAATAAAATTTATTATATAAATAAGTATATAATTATAATTATATTTATAATAAAAATATTTAAATAAACAAAGTTCATTGATTTAATTTTAAATAATTTGATTTACTTTAATAATTAGTTTAATTTATATAACTAAATTTGAATTAAAAATAGTACTAACTCTTTATTATATATTTGGTTTGATTTATGTTATATTGTTACTATTTATATGTAAAATTATTGTTTATTCATATTTATGAGTTTATTAAATATTTAGCTAGTGTAAGATGAAATAAATTATTAGTAACATAGTCCCTCGAGTAGCCGTTTTTTTTTTTTTTATTTTTTATTTAATGACGTGGGAATTTTTTCTTTTTTTGGATGACGTGGGATCCGCAATCGCTGCCTGAAGATGCGCATTGGGGGTATGTTTGTTTGAGGGATTTTATGGGATTTTTACTATTCCCACATAATTTTTCTTCTAAAAATATCAAATCAAACACCTATTTTTCATTTTTTATATTATATTAAAAATCAATTTACAAACACACCTTAGGTAAATTCCCGGCCGAACCTAATACCCTGCAAACCAGGCCCAACGGGAAAGTCACACTAAATTCATAACGTCACGGTCACAAATCCAACTTCTACACCACCATGTCATCCCTTACAATTGTGTTATATATTTTTTATTTGTTTATCCTATTAGTTTTCATCGAAACTGATTTGTATTTTTTTATATATTTCTTTCATATTTTGATGTTATAGTAGAAATTTTTTTATTAATTATATTACTAACGGATATTATTACGGAGAGAAAAAGAAAAAACCTATATATCTCACGATTGTTATATATATTTTCCTCCAAATTTTTTTTTTCTCCTCCTCCTATTCTGTTTTTATATTTCGTCCGGTTGAATTCATTTACTTATATATATATATATTATAATAATTTAAAAATTATCTAATTTATTATTATTATTATATTAGAAATAGTGTTACTAATAAAATACTCCATCCGTCCCAAAAATATAGTCCTATTGTGTTGGACACGAGATTTAAAAAATATTGATATTATATTGGTAGTAGGTAAAATATCAAGATAAATGAATTTTTTGCACTTGTGATTATATTAGTGTAAAAAGTAGTGACAATTGTGTAATAATAGTTAAAAAGTAGGAATAGTTTTATAGTGATATGGTTATTTATGGAAATGAGACTATTGTTTTGAGACGGACAAAAGTGGTAAGCAAGACTATTGTATCGGGACGGAGGGAGTATTTTATATTCATCTTTCTAAATTCGTTTTTAATTATATATTTTATTTAATATGAAATAAAATTTATTTGTAGTGTTATTTTATAAACATAACAATTTATCATGTATTAATAAAATACATACCAAAAAATAATTTATTCTTCTCAATTAGTCAGCACCTATCACGAATTTGTTTTTTGATATCCTCCAAAAGGCCTCATTCTAGTGGAGTTCACTCGGGACTTATAAGGTGTGAAATTTTCTTCACAACTTCCGATGTGGGATTTGGGTTTGCACCACAATAGATTTCACGGTCATTATTTTACTTCGCACACAACCATGTCATCCCTTACGGGACTACAACCTATTTTTATTTGATTGTATAAAAAGAGAGAGTGAATTTATTTTGTAATATACCGAGTATAAATAATTTTATGGTTATTTGTAAAATAAAATGTTATTTCTTATAAATTTTGTATTCTTTGTAAATTATTTATATTAATTTAACTATATTTATTTATTTAAAAATAATAATTTTACTAGTGATACGTTCTTTATTTTATATTCACATTATTATTTATATTACTTTATAGGAATGTTCAATTTTCTTAGTTCCTAGTGTTTAACTTTTAGATTTGATTTGTTTGGCATATGTGATATTATAATAACTTTTTTTTAGTTTGTCTGACTATTTTATCTTGACTAATCGCTCACTTTTTAGGTATAGTATTTTATTTACAAAAATTTTTAATCCAATAAATTTATTAAACTCCATTATGTTCATGCAATAAATATATAATCTTTGACAAACTTTTGAATGAAATTACATTTATGAAAATATATAGTATACATTTTATTATTATTATTTTTAATTATTTTGCTTTTTATTATTTTTCACTTGTAGATGGAAAGTAGAATTATAAGATGGTTTGATATTCATCGACGAGCTTTAGTGCATGTTGCATATTTTATTGCATAATATCAATTCATTAGAATGAGAAACTAGAAGAGAATTATTATAGTTTAAGCTCGGAGCGAAAAAGAATACGTGAAGGAATAATGAAGCGAATTAGTAATTGTAAAACTAAGTAGGAATGTTATAAGAATTGGTCTTCTAACTTTCATATCATTGTGTCAATGTTAGAAATATATAATGGATTGGTCAAGTGTGAAAGAACAAGTTGCAAAAACTATTGATATATTAATCCACAATGTTAAAATCCGTAAAATTAATTTCTAGTTTCGTCACTCTAATGAGACGATTAGTCATTATCTCCATCAAGTGCTGAGAGCCAGTGGCGGACCTAGGATTATATTCGAGGGGTGCTAATTTTGAAATTTATAAAATAATATATTTTATTTATAAATATTTATTTGTTATCCAAAAAACTTATCATTCTAATTATTATATTTTGAAGAAAATAAATACAAATAACGAACTACAACAATAATAATAGTTATACACTGTATTATAAATACTCCCTCTGTCCCATAACAAAGTATCCATTTTTCCATTTTAGTCCGTCCCATAATAAAGTATCTATTTCTTTTTTTAGCAACTGTACTATCTACCTAACATTACAAATACCCTTACAACTTACAATATATTACACAAATGTCATTACCTTTATATCACACATACTAATAAGGTTATTTTAGTCATTTCTACTATGTGCAAAAAGCAAATGCATATATAGTTTCGGGATGGACGGAGTATTTCTTTTTATTCAGACAAGATATACAATTTTTTAGTATTTTTTTATTTATCCATTTTCTCTATATTACATATATTTAAATAAAAAATACATAAAATTTAAATAAGTAAAAAAAAAAAGACTGGGGTGGTGTGAGGAGGGGGGCTGCAGCGCACTCTGGCCCCCACCTCGGTCCGCCCCTGCTGAGAGCTATCATTGAGCTAGAAGAAATTTTTTCTACAACCTAATGGCTCAATTACACATTCGGCAGTCTCTAGAAACAATAATTTTTTCTCTGACTCTGAGGTAGTAATACTTAATATGTAATTATAAAACTTAAACATGGTAAATAAAATATGTTTGATGGCAATGATCATACTCTAGTAAGTGAAAGTGATGAAGCAGCTTTGGGTAGGCTTGTAAAAGATATTGTAGCTAACCAAATGTGGCTGGATTACGATCTTGATCTAACTTATTTTGTTGACTTATTTTTATGTTAGTATAATTATTTAGAATGAACCATGTTATCTAAAAGACAATCATTAACTAATTTAAATAATTAAATTATACATATCGATCTAAACATAAAATTCCTATTGTAATAAAATTATGCTTAAATCAAATCAAATCAACGAAAGAAAAATACAATAATAAAATTAACCTCCGTCCATTGCTATTGAATTATAGCGTTCCAAATTCGAATTCTCAATCTCCTTCTTTTAAAATTTAATGAATTGAACTTCAAAACAATGTTGTCAAACATTTATCTCATAAATCGATAATGTATTTTTAATTCAGAGAGAGTGAGTTCAGTAACCCTATGAGAAGATTTTATAATAGAAAAAAAAAATCATCCATCACGGTTTTTTTTTTTTTTTTATAATAAAATCTTCTCATACAGGTTACTGAACCCTCTTTGAATTAATAATATAACATTTATCTATGAGAGCAAAGGTTTGACAACATTCTCATGGAGATCAATTCATTGGTTTGTTGAAGAAGGAGATTGGGAGTTCAGATTCAGCATGGAAGTTAATGTTATTATTGTATTTTGTTTTCGTTGATTTGATTCGATTTAAGCATGATTAATTGCAATAGAAATTTTATATTTAAATTAGTTGATGATTGTCTTTTAGATAACATAGTTGTATTTAAATAATTATATCAACATAAAAATAAGTCAACCAAATAAGTAAGATAATACACAATAAATTACTAAATAAAAAGAGTTCAATGTCTCGAATACAACTAAAAAGACCAAAAAATTTATAAAAAAAAAATGAAAAAAAAAAAAGAAGTTGCATATTCCTCATCTTTGTTATTCATCTAGATAAAGAACATAATCTAGCTATAGCATCTCTTATAAGTCTACATGAGCGTTTCATCACTTTCACTTCCTAAAGT